AATCTGCAATCTTCTCAACTTCACTGAAGGAACTCTGCCTTTGAGATATCTGGGACTACCTCTGATAGCTAAAAGACTCTCTTGGATGGATTGCTCTCCCCTTATTAATAAGATTTCAGACCAATTTAATAATTGGCTCAAGAGAAGATTCCTCTCGTATGCTGGCAGGTTACAATTGATAAAATCAGTGATTATGGGAATACAAAACTACTGGAGCAGTAACTACATACTCCCTATCAAAGTTCTTTAAAAAATTGATAAAAGATTTCTTATGGGGGCATAAAATTCATCTGGTGAGCTGGGGTTCTATATGTCAGGAAACTGAACATGGGGGGCTTGGAATATACTCTGCTGTGCATTGGAATTATACTATGGCGGCCAAACTTCTTTGGATGATTCATCTCAAGAAGGATATTCTTTGGATTAAGTGGATTCATGGTCACTATCTAAGACAACATTCTATCTGGCAAGTCCAACCAAGGAAGAATGATTCATGGCAGTGGAGGCAGCTTCTAAGAGTGAGGAATTTGCTGATTGATAAACTTGGTAGTGTGAATAATCTACAGAATGTCATCAGTCATAGCTGTGCTAATGATAAAATCAAAGTCTCAGTGTTGTGTAGGAGAATTTTTCAGCACTCAAATCTGCCTTCATGTCAGGGACTGTTTGGGGTGGATGGAATCTACCTAAACATTTATTTATTCTCTGGTTGACATTCTTATCAAGGCTGTTAACACAAGAAATGTTGGGAATTTATCAAATAATTAATATTATAGCATGAATTAAATCCAAAATCAAAATAAATAAGAGATAAGAAAATCAAGCCTGAACGGGAGCAGTCGTGTAAACACTGCCCTAGAAGATTGAGAACCCGCCTATCGCCCTGGCGCAGATGGTTCTCTCCCCCTAGCGTTAAAACCCCCCGGAAACGGCCGGCCTCTACACTCGGGCGAGAGTGCAGAGCTTCAGCTCAGATGAATGAAGTTGCCCATAAAAAACTAAAATGTAGATGAAAATAATATGTAGGGGAGAGAAGAAAAACAAGAGAAACTTGTTGTATATTTTTCTTCTTATCATTTTGAGCTCAACATACGGATATATATATAGGGTTGGAAAAGACGTTACAAAACCCGTAATTAATTCCGTAACGTTCGTCATAAATTTTGTAACGTTCCCCATAATTATATGGCCGTTACACATATTTTTAATTGCTAATTAAAACATGTTTTAATTATAAAACTTTATTACTATTCATGAAGGCAAAATTGTCTTTTCTTAACAAAATATCTAACAGTCCCCCCCAAAAGGCAATATTGACTGAAAACTCAGAAATCAATAAATAAATCAAGAATGATAAAACAAATATAGGTTGGGCAACCTTACGTATCGTGAATTCGGGAAAGGTAGCTTTCGGCTTTGAACCTTTCCTTAGTGAGTTCATCGCCACCTGAGGGACATAATGGACTAGGCCTTGAATTAGGCCCCTTTAATCAGGTATTGATGAAAACACACACAATACGCTTCATCTATTGAGCAAAGCGGGTTGAGCGTTAAAGGCCATGCTCACAATAAACCGACTCATGAGAGTTTCTAGGGGTTAGCCCAACCCCCCCTAACCGCGGCCATCACGGTTCCTCTCACGTAGGTAAGTCCTCAAAGGGTACTACAGCTGTTTATTTAATACCCCCCACAATACACGCGTTGGACTTATTAAGAGTAAAACTCAGCCTAGCCAGCTGTATCATAAGAGCATCGTCATCATAGAGAAGGGGTAGTAGCAAATGCTACATAATGATATATAAATATATCTAGGTCGATGCTCCACACGAGTGTCACTAGTCAAGATTCTTTTCATAGACTTTACAAAGTCTAGAATCATAACTTTGCCTAGCAGGCGTTGTATTTATTTATCAAGTTCTTATTTTGTAATTAGTCCATCATATTGTTTGAAATTGACATTAGGTCATGATCTATGATCATAAAAGATCATAGTAGCTATGTCTGAAGAGATTGACCTTAATATCTGAACATTTCAAACTAATGTGGAACTAAAAATTCTGCAGTTATGCATATGCACATACATGAATGAAATTAATAATAAATACATGCAGAGCATAATAGGATTTCGTATCTTAAAATATATTTTCGTATCTTAAAATATATTTCATACTTCATAATTCAAATGCATAAAATTTTTAAAATTCTTCTATTATAAGAGGTTACAAATTGGTTGCCTACAAAGGAGACCGTCCAAATTTAAATCGGTTGCCTACAAAGGAGACCTTCCAAATTTAAATCGGTTGCCTACAAATGAGACCTTCCAAATTTAAATTGGTTGTCTACAAAAGAGACCTTCCAAATTTATGTTGCCATTTTCTAGTACCACCTCTTATACAAATAATAATAATAATAATATTTGTACATACGTGCTTTAAATTTTTGAAGTGCATTCTTGCTTAAAACCTTGTAATTAATCATGTAACAAATGCAAGTTATCTAAAAAGATATATGAGCATTTATTGCAATATTCATCAAAATGCAATAAAAATGATGAACTTTACATTTGAAGATTTGAAATATAATCCATCATATAAAATAGAATTTTAAAAAATGCACCTCTTTGATTTGGTTTGCTCATATATTGATCATTTATCATTAGACAATATATGATGCAAGAAGCGTAATTAAATAAATGCATATGAATTTTTTTTCTCATAATTCCGATCCTCTTATTCCAAACCAAAAACTCCTAAAGTGAAAAGATTAAAGTTTTACCCGGGTAGTTAGCCAGGTAAGGATAGTAATAGAGGTTGATCAAGGATCAATTAAGTACCTCGTTCCTTGCAGAGCGCATTACGCAACCCTTAAACCTTGCCTTAGACACCAACTAATCCAAGAAAACTTGAATCGGTTCACTCAATGAGTTTTTGTTTCTTAACAGTATATAGAAACTTTAAATTATTTCCTGTTAGCATTTAATTTGCCTAGCAACTATACTGCAAACATATGATGTATAAGGCCGAGGAGGGGTTTACCTATTGATGTTCGAACCTCGTGATTTTCATGTCGTGAGAGCAAAACCAGTCTATAAAGCTTACACATTAAAGAGGATTAATGAAAATAAGCATTTAACAACTCAAATTAATCAGCAATAAACATGTGCAATTAATCACAGAGATAATCTTTACTTTTAAAGATCTAAAATATAATTCACCATATAAAATAAAATTAAAAGATGCATAGCTTGCAAGATGATATTAGAGATCTAGTTGTCTGTATTTTTCTATAACTGAAGTTATATTATATGAAGATCTTTCCAGGTAACTGATTGTTTCTTTCAGTTATTCATACATTCTAAAGCTAAACAATGCCTTATAATCAATCAATGCATGTAAAAGTAGCACTGTGGCTGTCAGAAGTATTACAATATAAGGCTTGCTGGTTATTTGTCATGCTCATTATGAGTTCCAGCATACCACATGAAAAACCTTGGCAATGATAATAATACACTTGTATCAGATACATAATCATGACATGGTGGACATTTATATCTTTCAAAGTAATTAGCCAAGGTGTATCTGCTATTTGGTGCCAATTGACATATTAATTTATAAACCTCATGTATAGGACACAAGCGTTGCATAGCAAGCTAGATTAATTACTAGTCAAGAATAATTAATAGCAATTAATCAATTACATTAACTAATTAATTTTAGCAATTAATTATTATAATTGTCCGATAAACAGTAATGAATACTAACGGACATCCCAAATTAATTTTCAGTGAACAGTAATTCATATTTTTTATGATAAACAGTAAATTTTTGATTAATTGTCGCAATTAAACAAATGCTGTAATTAAAAAAAAAACACTACAATTAACAGAAATTCGGATGAATAGGATTCCCCCTAATGAACAGTAACTTCCGAATGAACAGTAATTTTTTTATTTTTATTTATTTTATTTTATTATAACTTTCGGATTTAAAACAAAAGCTATAAACTCTCAATCTTCTAGATTGTTGGGAATTTATCAAATAATTAATATTATAGCATGAATTAAATCCAAAATCAAAATAAATAAGAGATAAGAAAATCAAGCCTGAACGGGAGCAGTCGTGTAAACACTGCCCTAGAAGATTGTGGATGGAATCTACCTAAACATTCATTTATTCTCTGGTTGGCATTCTTATCAAGGCTGCTAACACAAGAAAGACTTTGCAAAATGAGAATTCTGAACTCAAATCAGTGCACCCTATGTTCAAGAGAAGGACAGATTGAAACCTGTCAGCACCTTTTTTTCGAATGCCAATATTCAGCTAGTGTTTGGAATCAAGTTATGGATTGGCTATGCTTCAAAAGGAAATCATGCAGGTGGGATCAAATCACCAGCCTGGTTTGGGAACAATTTGAGAGAGAAAAGTTTCAAAATAAAGCTTAAAAGGATGGCATTATCTACTTCAGTCTACATGATTTGGCAAGAGAGGAACTTTCGTATATTTCAACTGCAATTAAGAGGCCCTGATCATCTTTTTAGCATGATTTGGCAAGAGAGGAACTTTCGTATATTTCAACTGCAATTAAGAGGCCCTGATCATCTTTTTAGCTTGATAAAGATACATGTATATATAAGGATTTTGAATGATAATATACCTCAGCACATAAAGAACTATGTAGAGAATTTTTAGTTTTGAAGACTTGATAATATACCTCAGCACATAAAGAACTATGTAGAGAATTTTTAGTTTTGAAGACTGTATTCTGTAACCAGTCTTGAGATAGACATTGATGTATTATAACTTCCATATATTGGTAATGAATAAAAATTTTCATTGACCAAAAGTCAGTGAATGAGTCTTTGAGGAAATAACGCAGAAATTTGGAGCCATTGTAATTCATTGATAAGCTACTTGAAGCAAAAAACTAAAAATAAATAAGAAAGTCAAATGGTTCTTCGATCAGCCAAAAAAACATAAACTTAATTTCAGAAATGATAAAAACTTCAGATTCTAGAACTTTAAGGGGCAACATCAAATGATCCAATATTCTTTGACAATCAATATTCTACGCAGATAACCTACAAGTTGCAAAATAACAAAATTAAACTATGACATGAAACTTTATTGAATAAGTTAACCAAGAAGGAGAATTTTTTTTTTTTTTTTTTTTTTTTTTTTCCAAGAAGAATTTTTTTTTTTTTTTTTTTTTTTTTTGCATTAAAAGAAAAAAGAATCTCAACAGTAAAATGATATAATAGAGATTAGTCCCAGTAGATACTGTAAAATTTTGATGAATTATACTTATAGTGAAAGGAATCCTGCACTCTCTAATTGGCATTTTCTTCTCTTCTCCGACCCTCTCATGCCATCGCCGCAGAAAAAGAGAAATCAAAAAGAAAACGCGAAGAGGAAAGTTCAGATAATTTCTTATTGGAAACGAGTTTTAATGTTTACCTCTGTAATTATTTTTATAAAATGCATACTTAAAATTGCTTCAAATCTTCTTAGTTTGACTCTTCGTTACTGTGCAGGAAGTTAAAAGAAATTTTTTATTGGTTTTTTTTGGAATAAGTTTAGGAGGCAAAGTATTATTCATTGTGCCTGTGATAACGTTTGGATCCCTTTGTTGGTAGCTAATGACGAGTCATCTATAGGACCCACAATATCAGCGTGAGATGCCTTGACGATTTGGGTCTTTATTTTAATTGTAACTTTCAATTTTTGACGTGGCTTCAGTATTAAACAAGTGTTTTTATAGGGAGTAGGGAGTTAACAATGTGTTTTCTTAAAAAAGGAGGTGTATTCCGTGACAAAAGTTTGGGGTTTTATAAAATGTTCTTCGATTCTCGACCCAAAATGTTTTTCAAAAAAACGTTTATCACAAATATTTAGGTTTTTTGTGCAAAACGTGCGTTTAATCTTTTCATTTTAAACTCGACTGACCACCTAATATTCCAAGCACCAATTTAATTTTGTAAAATAATCAGTTTTGAATTTTGACTGAGAGAAAAGCGTTGCAGCATTATAAATTGCTCTAATGCCGTAGCTCTCTCTCCCTCAGTAGGAGTTCCCTTTCACTTGATCCGAACTTAACAGCTCCGAGTTTTTCAAAGCCAAGCCATGGGGACTAACGCTGAGTTGCCTGCCGTCGCTAACAGGTACATAAGTTTCATGTCCTATGTATCGATTAATTTGCCATGTATATATTTGTTAAGGATTATATACGAATCATGAATGTGTTGTTGACTGATTGATTTGTATAGGTTAGAGGGGAAGGTTGCTCTGATTACCGGCGGTGCCAGCGGCATCGGTGAGTCCACGGCAAGGCTCTTCTGCCGACACGGTGCAAAAGTAGTCATTGCCGACGTCCAAGATGAGCTCGGAGAGTCCGTTTGCGGCGATCTTGGCGCCGCTGCGTCCTTCATCCATTGCGATGTCACGAATGAAGATGATATTAGCAAAGCCGTCGACCACGCTGTCGAAAAATTCGGGCAGCTCGATGTCATGTTGAACAATGCCGGTACAATAATATTGCGCCTCCACATTTCTCATCTAAATTAAGGACTTGACGGTTAAAATTTACTTAATTGAAACAAATTGATTTTAGAATAACCTTATTAATTACACTTTTTTTTCTAACCAAAAAAATTCATGGGACCAAACCATGAAAAGGGTTGACACCTGTCATTTCTTTGGATTTGAACCAAATTCAACGACATAGTGATGCAATTAATTTGTGGACTCAGGTATCGCCGGCTCACCAGTATCAAGCGTCGTCGACTCCCAAAAATCCGACTTCGAGCGAGTCCTTAGCATCAACTTAGTCGGCGCGTTCCTGGGCACTAAACACGCCGCCCGCGTGATGATCCCAGCACGCAGATGGGCTGGCATTCTCGCCACATCCAGCCATTGCATGCGTGCAGCAGCCGCGCTGCCTTCCGCCACGCTTACACTTGCCCTCCAAGCACGCCGTCGTCGGCTGACAAGAACGCGGTTCGAAGCTCGGTCGGCTATGGGTCCGAGTCAACTGCGTGTCCGCCTGGCTCGCCACGCCGTTGGCCACCGGATACAACACGGCGCTGACGGATGAGCAGCTTGAGATGCGAGGCGGGTATGCGAAGTTGAGGGTGACGCGTTTAAGAAAGTGCAGGACATTGCACTGCGCTCTTGTTTTGGCTTAGCGAAGAATCGAGGTACGTGAGCGGGCAGAATCTGGTGGTGGACGGGGCTTTTTCTGCTGGGAACGGTGGGATTGATGTCTTCAACTAGCTAGATGTGCCATGCCATGCGTGTGGTGTTTGATTCGGATTCTATTTATGTTGTGATTGTGAAGTAATTGCAATGTAATTGTCAGTTACATGCAAAATAATACTCAAAAATTAAAATAAATCAACTGCGCATACTAATGCGATTGATTGTTGAAACTATTGCCCCACCTGTGGTCATATTTGCACTTATTTTGTACTTTTTACTCAAGAATCAGTAAGTATCTATCTACTATATATGCTTGAAAATGCCCTTACCCTCAGCCTGCTTTCTCATTTTCCCGCTAGTTAGGGCAAGTCTAACGTCTTAAGGAATATCCAACTCCGAATAATTGACCGTAGCAAGACTATATATAATTTCTAGCTCCAGTTTTATATAGCTGCAACGTTGGCTTCTCTATAAATGTGATGCATGACAAAGAAACATAGTAGATAACAAATTCATGGCCTCCTGGGCACATTTAAACTTTTTTTTTGGTCAATGAACTGTAAATTTTATTCATCTCTCAAATTGAACATGTAAGGTATTACAAAGAACCAGATAAACCTGGAAACCTAAAGAAAATTACAAATTTTCAAGTAATTCTTTCATATGCACATGTGAACTATCATTTAGAACTTTATAGAAAACTGAAAGTTTAATATCCCTAAAGACTTGAGTAGGCAGCCTCCTCTTGTCCTGAAAAATTCTTAAATTTCTCTCCCTCCAAATCATATATACAGCAGCAGATAACACCATCCTTTTCAGCTTCTTCATAGGATTTTTACCTTTCAAATTGAAAGAGTACCAGTTCAGTAGCATGCTCCATGAACAGGATCTCCATTTATATCACAACCAGCTCATCACCAAGTTCCACACTTCAGCTGAATATTTACACTCAAAGAAGATATGATCCCTTGCCTCTATTTGATGACTGTCACACAGAACACAGTGAATTTGATTGGTGCTCAAGATGTTCATTCGGCACAATCTATCTTTGGTAAGTAGCCTTGAATGACATGCTAACCAAAACACAAAGGAGTGTTTAGGGTATAGGAAGCCATCCCAAACTGTTTTAGCCAGTGTTTAGGGTATAGGAAGCCATCCCAAACTGTTTTAGCCCAAGTAGCTGTACTAGCAGGTTGCAAAAGAGCTCTGTATACTGCAGTTAAACGAAGATTTCCTCCTGAGCAACAATCTGCTATAACATTCATTACAGTAACAGCACTTCCAAACTTACTCAAAAGCATATCTCTCACTTTAAGGAGTTGCCTCCACATCCATGAGTCATTAGTCTTAGGTTGAACAGTCCATACACCTTGGTTATGTAGATAGTTTCCATGAACCCACTTGATCCATAGGAGATCCTTTTTAAGATGGATCATCCACAGGAGCTTAGTGGCAGCTGCGTAGTTCCAGAATTTAGCTGAGAATATACCCAGACCCCCATATTCTTTTCCTTGACAAACAGATCCCCATTTTACTAAGTGAAATTTGTGCCCCCACAGAAAATCAGAACACATACTGTCAATCTTTTCCAGAGCTTTAATTGGGAGGATGTAATTGCTTAGCCAATATGTTTGAATTCCCAAAATAACAGGTTTAATTAGCTCAAGTCTGCCAGCATAGGATAAGCATTTATTTAACTGCCAGGATTGGAATTAACTGTAAATTTTACCAATAAGACTAGAACAATCAGTGTATGAGAGTCTTTTTGCAGTCAGAGGAAGTCCCAGATATTTCATAGGCAGTAAACCCTCAGGGAATTTGAGATAGTTACATATCTGGGCTTTGAGATCTTCAGTTACACCACTCAGGTAGACAGAGCACTTGCTTAAGTTGGCTTCCAGTCCAGAAACTTGTCCAAATTCTTGGAGACATGTGAAAATTTTAGTGATAGATCTCATGTCAGCCTTGCATAACAGCAGTAAGTCGTCAGCAAAAATCAGATGATTGATCTTCAGTCTAGAGCATTTTGGATGAAATTTGAATGATGAATCATCTTTTAGAGTGTTGAGACTCCTAGATAGAAATTCCATCCCTATAACAAAAAGATAGGGGGAGAGAGGATCCCCTTGTCTCAAGCCTCTTGCGCCATGGAAATAACCATGCAGACCTCCATTCAAGGCTAAAGAAAATTTAGGTGTAGATATGCACTCCATGATCCAGCAAACCATATTACTTGGAAAATTCAAACTAATCAACATACTCCTAATGAAATCCCAACTGATAGTGTCGAAGGCCTTCCTCAGATCAACATTTAAAATAGCTCTTAGGGAATTATTTTCCCCCCATAGTGTTTAAATAGCTCATGTGCAAGTAAAAAATTGCTGGATATGAGTCTCCCTCTTACAAAAGCACACTGCGCATCATTAACAAGATATCCCATAATTTTTTGGACCCTGCTGGCAATAACTTTGGATATGACTTTGTAAATAACATTGCAACAGGATATAGGGCGAAAATCAGTAGCCGAGATAGAATTAAGGACTTTAGGCACAAGGGTAATAGATGTTGCATTAAGGGATCCCAAGAGTATACCTGAGTGAAAGAATTCCTCAACTGCTAGAAAAAGATCCTCTTTGATTACAGACCAAGCAGCTTTGTAAAAGAAGGCATTGAATCCATCAGGACCAGGTGCCTTACTATCAGGCATTGAGAAAAGAGCTTTTTTGATCTCTTCCCTAGAAACAGGGGAACTCAGGTCATGTTTTTGTTCAGAGGTTAAAATGAGACCATTTGAGATTATGTTAGGATCAGCAGCAGTATTAACTTTAGCAGAACCTAGCAGCTTCTTATAGAAATCAATGAGCTCAGCAGTTATTTCAGACAAATCTGTGAGTCTGGAACCATCAGCAGCATAAATTGATAATATCCTGTTATGGTGTCTCTTGTTTTTCATAACTGAATGGAAAAATTGAGAACCCTTGTCAGAATGAAGCCCCCATTTTATGCTTGCTTTTTGTCTAAAAAAAGAATTTTCATTATCAAGCATAATAGAGTATTTCCTAATGCAAGCTTTCTCCCTTAGAATTAGATCAGAATTAAAAGGATCAGCATCCAGCTTGGTTTGGACATCCAACAGATCAGCTTGAGCTCTCAGTACTTGTTGACTGATATTCATGTAACTCTTGTTATTTAGTTCCTTGAGAACATGCTTGAGACTTTTAAGCTTTGCACAAAACCTGTACATGTGATACCCCCTGATCTGCCTGCTCCAAACAGACCTGACCACCTCTAGAAAATCAGGGTGCTTAGTCCACATATTGAAGAATTTGAAAGGCTTTTTGCCTTCAAAAATATCATCACCAATAGATATAAGACCAGGGGAGTGATCAGAGCATAGAGGCATCAAATACTCCACTTGACTTGTAGTATATTGATTAATCCAGTCTTCATTCACTAGGGATCTGTCCAATCTGCTCCATACTCTAGTATCAGCATTCTGCTTGTTACTCCATGTGAAAAAGCATCCTGAAGTTTTAATATGATTCAGCTGACTGGATGAGATAAAATTTTGAAAATCACCATTTCCAGAATCAGATGCCTGAACACCACCAATTCTTTCATCTCCATTAATAATAGCATTAAAATCCCCTCCCACCAGCCATGGGCAAGCAACATTACTTTTAAAGGCTAGTAAGTCTTCCCATAAAGCTTTTCTGTCATCATTCAGATTGTGGGCATAAACTGCAATGAGAAGACAAGAAAATTTGCCATCTTTAGATTTCAATTCACAAGTGATATATTGATCAGAGGATTTAATCTCCTGAACAGTTAGGACAGCACTGTCCCATAGAATCCATACTCTAGCATTACTGGCCAAGTGTTTATTGGATATCCAATTCCACTCCTTTGCAATTTTTCTACCAATAAGCTGCATTTTGTCATCCCTTGCAATTTTGGTTTCTAAGAGAGCAAGAAAAGATAATTTATATTCTTGAATAAACTTTTTCACTGCCCCATGCTTAGAGGATTTATTCAATCCCCTAATGTTCCAGATAGCTAGATGCATTTATAGAGTATAGTCCCCTATATCAACATTAGAGGGATCCAAATCAAAGATTTGATGATCAAGAATAGAGAATTGAGAGGCTTGCACTGATGTACCAGGTTCTCTCATAATAAGCCTTTTTGCAGCAAGAGCTCTAGTAACATTAGTGAATCCACTAGTATTAATAGAAGGGGAGTAAGGGTAAGCTGGACCCCCTGCTGTGCATGTTTTCCCAACCTCAGAAGGGTTCTGAGCATGATGCTTATCAAGGAGATGTTGCATTCCATTCAGGCCATTCCCAGAGTTTATTTTATGAACATGTGCATGTTTTTCCAGGAAAGAAGTGCCAGACACAATACACTCTCTTCCTGCAGCAGAAGAAACATGTGCATGTTTTTCCAGCAAAGAAATGCCAGACTCAGTCTCAGTACACTCTCCTCCTGCAGCAGAAGAAATCTGAGCATGATTTACCAGTAAAGGAACTCCAGACAAACCATTTATAGGATCCTGAGACCTTTGAGTATCTATTTTGTCAGTCCCTCCTCCTGTAGCAGGAGGAGGATTGGATTTTTTTACTGGCACCCAAGCTTTTTTAACACCATTTTTCCTGCAA